CCGTGTCTGCAGAGTCTCACAGCAGAGGAGCCCTGTTGATGCCTATAGCCTTCCAGCTATCAGAGGAGCCACTACAGCATGATATCACAGCCAGGATCCTGTTTACTCAGCATGCTTACCCTCACCATTGCCTTACGATCAGAGAACATACCTACAGCTGTTACGAAAATATTGGGTACAAGCCATGGCTGTAGTAATGGTTCTGCTGATTCCTGGCCAGGTCAGGATGCAAAGATGGACATATGATGCACCAAAAAGACAGCTACTTGCATTGCCATTTCATCAACCGTTGGGAGTCACAGATGGGCAAGGGATGTCGATACTCCCTCGGGGACAGAGAAATGAGAAAGATTTAGAAAAAGTTCTTCAGGTGACATGCTGAACAAAATACTGTCTCCACACACACCGACACATGAACGCCTGCTCATCAAGTGTTCAGAACTACTCCTGGTTTCATGGGCTTGCGGTGACCCAGGCCTGTATTCTTCAACCCATATCCTGAACTCAAGGGAATTCATGCATTTGAGTTCTGAGAAGTAAGAGCCTTTCACATGAAAGGAAACAGCTCATGTATTACTATACTTCTGTCTGCTTTTATTAGTTTCTGTCTCCTTTTTAAAACCAGTATTTCCCCAGCATTATAGCTAACTTTTCCTGGAGCTCCAGTATGCTGCTCTTTTCTTTTGTTTTTGCTTGTATCCACTGTGCTACTTAAAATTCTATGCCACACTCCCAAAACCAGTCTCAATTTCCCAAACCAAGATACTCACTTGCCTTCTAAAACCAGCTTTTCCCTTTTCTCTGGCTTTTTTATTTCTCCACATATTTTCTCACCTTGAGTTCCACCCACTCCTGGGGACAAGCAGACAGCTCAAAGCTAACGATGTCTCTCAAGCAAGCAGCCTCTCTAAAGGCGTTCCAGATTTTTCACATTTGCCTGTGCAGCACATGTTCCCACAGTCACCTGTCTGCAATTCAATACCCTGTGGACCCAAGGACAGGCCTGAAATGAGGCAGCCCAGGCTCTTTTTCAACCCCAAAATACATGCATTGAGGGACATTTAAAAAGACCAGATGGGCAAGCTCTGTGGGAGACTGCATGGACTTTCAGTCTGGCAGATCATTGCGTGTCTTCCCTTTGCTACGTTTCAGCTTTCATCTTGTAAACTGACAGACTGGGGTGGAAGGAAAGTAATGGCTGGAGAGACAGGATCGATTTACTGCCCACAGTTTGCCACCCTGGCATAAAATTGCCACCTGCACCATGCACCAAAACAGCACCTTCACCTCCAAGAAAGCGTCATTTCAGTGACACTTTTGGGTGACAGAGTTGGTGCTAACAATTTTAATTTCTAAGCAGCAAGATGCAACTGGAGCAGTGAAGACCCCACAGCCCTTTCTCAGCAGTACTGACAGTCACTTCCCCCAGCTCCGTTTCACAAGCCCCTGGAGAAAGCTGCAGATGGAAGAGGCTGGGTGGTGGGAATGTCCACTTGAGTATGCTGGGAATTAGGCCTAGCTTGCTCCAGAGCTGGGTGAGACTTGTCAGCATTTCCAGGAAGCAGGGATAGCTCTCTGCTTTTAGTAGAGGCAGGGCAATGGGAAGTATCTCTCCTGGAAATGGAGAAGGACCATGAACTCATTTCTCTTCACCTCCAAACAGTCCCCACACTCAGATTCATGGTACTCATTAAGAGTTTCCCCCCCAAATCTGCTCTTCTTCTCCCCCTCCCATGCAGCGAGGCCACCCCAGAGCCCATCTTCCTATAGGGAAGAGGACCATCACCCACGCCGATGGGCAGCTCTGCTTCTGGTCCAGGAAAGGTGCTTCTGGAAATGAGGTCTCAGGGTGTTCAGCAACTCAGCACAGCTGCTTTCCCTCTTCTCCTCCAAAACTGTCATGCCAAAGAGGGATGAAGCAGTTTCCATCACGTCTTCAAACACAAAACAACCTCCTCCTCCCCCGCAACAAACCTCCATCCAGCACCAACAGGCCAAGGGGCATAAAGCAGCAGCAGCAGCTGGGGAGACGTCACACCACAGAACTGCAGCTTTTATCCAGCTCTTCTAAGCAATTGGTCACCATTAACTTTGACAAAAGGACCTTTTTCCAAGGCAGTCACTGCACTTGGTGGGACTAACAGTAAAGCAGTCAGACAGCCTGAACCTTGGTTGCAGCCACTTCACATCTTCTGGGGACCCATCTCCTCGCCTCTCATAGACTGCTTATTCCTAACCATGCAGCACCAAGGCTCGGCATCATGCTCAGCTCCTGAGCTCGCGTCGTTGTTGTGACTGAACAAAGAGGTGGCAAAAGGGATGGGATGGTGGTGTTGGGGAGGAGGAGAAAGAGGAAAGAAGGAAGGAAAGGAGACTGTAGCTGCTGTGTGGACTTGTGACAGGAAAATCTCATCAACTATGGGAACACAGTATCTGCAGGTGATTTGATAGTGTAAAGGCCCGTGACATTGGCCAAAAAACAAATGACAGCATGAGAGTGAGAGAGAGGTGGACAAAATGGTGACCTTGCACAATACCTGGGAGTCATAAGAGCAAGAAGCCATTTAGGGTAAGGGACAGGCAGCCCTAGGGAAGGGTTTTTCTTTGGAGACACTGGGCAATGAACAGCCATCTGTATGGAATCTGCAGTCCTTTTAGCCAAAGCAGCCTGCCTACAAAGGGAGCCAGGTCGGAGCTAGCAACCCTTCAACCACTTTTCCCTTTCAAAGGTGGACCTAAGTAGGCAGATGAGGAAAACTGGATATCATCTCCCAGAGAAGCAAGATGCTGCTATGGAGGGGTGGCATGGTACACTGTTCCTGTGTGCCGACTCCCAGAGCCAGTCCACATCCTTGTGCTTGGCCATTCCAACTTTGGTGTCCATGCTGTGAGCTGCTGGTGCCTGATCAGTGGCAGTTGGTCCAGCCTCCATTGGCACGAGTCTGTCCCACTAGCCTAGATCTCTCTAACATGCAGAGGAACTTTACATCCTTACTCCCACATGGTGCCACCCATCATCTCCCACCCCGGGCTTGCACTGCTCTTTACACAAGAACAGAATAAACCCACGGCCACTGATGCCAGCACAAACCTCCTTGCAACAGTGTCCCCTGCCTCTGTCTGAAACCATAAGCCAGGTTACGCCAGAGCCATGGGTGGGAGGCAGAGACTGGCAAGCAACAAGGGGGATGAGGAGAGGACGACAAATCTTCCCTTTCAGTAGCCAGCCATAACCAATCACCTATCTCCCCTAGCATCCTGGCCATGAACACTACTCTGGCCATGGGGAAGGAGCCAAGATCCCTTCCCCACCTCCTCTTCCCCCATCTGCATTCCCTTCCAGGCAGGCACCACATCCTAGCAGGCTATTTTTGTGCCGGTGGTTATTGCCTTCTCAAAATTGCTTTGACAATGCCTGTGCCGCCCGCTCCCTGCCTCCTGAGAGCAGCTGCCAAGCTGAGGTTCCCCCTCATCCTCCATTACCCACACGAAAAAAGACCCAGAAAAGTTTTGTTTTCTCAGCCCAGACTGGACGGATGGGATTCAGCGCCTGATTCAGCCTTTCCTCAGTTCGGGATTATTTCCTGCTCGAGGGAGATGGACTACAGGGAGGATGAGTCTCTCCCTCGCTGTCCCCACCACCCCCTGTGGCTGCCTGTCAGGCCTTTATCCTCATTGAGATGCAAGGCTGGCTGCTGCGGCCATCCGCTGAGCCGTCTGCTCCTGAAGGCACCTTCCCCTCCTTCCCCCCCTCCTCCCGGGGCTGCCTGTGGAGCTATTCTTCAGCCTCTGCATTTCACAACAGCTCAAAGGCAGATGCATCAATCCTTTCAGGGGATGGGGACGTGAGGAGAATGGCAAGGGGTCTGCAGGCAGGTGTTGGTAGGTTCCCAGCCATCTCACAAGCCTTGTCCCCCTCCCTGTCCCTGGCTGGCTTGTGCCTGAGGCTTGGTCTGAGGCATGGGGCAGGGATGGGGAAAGGGAAGAGGATGAGGAGGAAGAGTTCTGGGAGATGCTGACCCCATAGGCATGCCCAGCTGGGATGCAGGCGTGCACCCAGCTGCCTGCTCGCTGCAGCCTTTCCCTCATGAGGGAAGCAGGGATCTAACCCTGCTTGCTGAAGGTTTCCACCAGGGACCAATTTGACCCTGGTGCAGACAGCTGAGGGAGGGAGAACAACCCCATGGCCGCTAGCAAATGTGAAGGGTGAGGAGAAAAAGGAGGAGTGGAGATGGGGGGGTTGTTCCTCCCAAAGTTGCTGCCTGCACTGGGCACCCTGGGCGAATGGCACTCCTGTCTTGCACACTGAAATGGGTTGGGGATGATTCGGGACCGGGTCTCCAGGACCCCCCCTTCGACTCCTTCACACAGCCACTTTGGTCCCGCTGCTCTCCCAGCCCTGGCAGCAGCCGGTGTGGGGCAGGAGGGAGGTGTGGGGCAGGCCGTGGGGCAGGAGGGAGGTGTGGGTCAGGCCGGCTCGCGGCCTGGGCAGGGCAGCTGGTTCCCGATGTGTGTTTTACCCGTAGGTACCACAATCCTTTGACTGTGTGTTCGAAAGCCTTGAGTCTATACATTTAAGAATCAGCAAATTAGAAAAATTGTCCTGAAATGTTGGAGGGAGGAAAAAGGCAGAAAGGGACAGGGATAGGGATAGGGAAGGACTGAGGACTGAGAAGGAGGGAGAGAAGGGGTTGGTAAAAGAGAGTTCATCCAGGGGCACTGCCCTGGCTTTGCGCCCATCACCTGCGGGCTCGGAGGGAGGGAGGGAGGCAAGGATGAAAAGGGAGGACTGATTTCACACATTCAGTGCATATCATACAACCAGGGCAAGGCATTCCTCCTGGGGTTCCTACCCAGGATGGCATCACTGCCGTAGCCAGTCTAGGGCCCTGCCCAGCAGCCCGAACCATACTCACAGCAGGGTTACAATTCACTGCTTCATTGCTTGGGGAAAGATACCTTCTTGTTTCTTTCCCTTTTTTCTTTTTTTTTTTTTTTTAAATTATATATATCTTTTTAAGTACTTTTTTTCTCCCTTTTTTGTTTCTTTTCTTTTTTTAAAGTCTTGTAATTTTCTGTAACAGCAGCTTCTTTCTGTATTGGTGTAGAAGTTATATATAGAGAGATATCTATAAATATATATAAGCCAAACTGCCTTACAGGTTGTTGTTGTTTTGTGGGATTTCTTGTTTTGCTTTTTGTTTCATTTTTTTTCAGTGTTGTATGTGTAGCAGGCACTTGAGTTTATATGAAGATGTTTGTCTGGGAGCTGAGGGGCGAAGGACTTGGGAGGGGGAGAGGGAAGGAAGGGCAGAAGGAAGGAGCAGGGAATTTTGACAAGTGGCCACTGCTAGCCAAGGATGTCCAGGTAGATTGGTGTGGCCTTGCCCAGAGCATGAAGGATCTTGTAGATCTCCTTGATGTTGAGCCGTTGCTGAGGTTCTCTCTGCCAGCAGCCCAACATGATGTCGTAAACCTCCTTGGGGCAGACTCGAGGCCTTTCCAAAACTCGGCCTTGGGTAATGCACTCAATGACCTGAAAGAAAGAAAGAAGAGCGATGTTGAACACCTGTTAGGCAGTTCCTGGAGGATGTCCTGTCCCAGCTACTTCTTGGCTGATGTGGTACCGCTTAGTGAATGGGAGCTTTGAGAAGCCAAGAGGTCTGCAGAGCCTCAGCGCTCACCTGTCTGTGTGTTGTTAACGATAATTTTACTGTGGAAAGTTTGTCTCCAGCTGCAGTCTTGCAGTTCCCAAAAACCTTCCCCATTTGACACCTACCTACCTCAACTCTCCAAACAGGAGGTCACAAGAAAATGAAAGGAAGTTTTAATTTATGTCAGTTTTTCCTGCTAATTTTTCCTTCACTGAAAATCCAGAGTCCTTTCTATTGCAAAGTCCAGGAGAGTTCCACAAGGGAGAGTTCAGAGTGCATTTTCCTACCTCCATCTCCAAGGGCAGCTTTGCCTCAGTTGACACAGAAAAGCAGCTGAAAGAATGAAATTTCATCTCAAATCACATCTGTGATGGAGAAAAAAAAAATGCAGTGCTGACACTCTGTTCTGGGTCAGGTCGGTGCTGATAATGAGAGAAACGTGGGCTCTTGGATAGCATTAAAGCCTCTTCAGATGGATGCCATTGGAAAGGACTGCCCTAAGCATCCGTGCTTTGTTCACCGGAGGAATGGATGCAAGGGGAAGGGAGGTATGATATCTCAGAGAGCTGCTATTACTGTCTGGCCTCTTTGGTTGGAGTTGATGAGTCCCAGCATTACAGTGTGCAAGTGACCTGCCACGCTCTGCAGATAAACACAGATCCCAAGCAGCGTGTTAAGGGAAGCCACCCAGCAAGGGGTGTTTGGAATTTATCATTTATGAATAGTAATGGGCCTGCCACACAGCTCAACAGATACTTATCGCTTCGCTGTTTGCATATAAATACAGAGGGGAGAGATTAGGACCTGCTGAAAGCAGGCGAGGAAGACGCAGCATGCAGAGAAGCCTGCTCTGCCATAAAGCTGCTGGCAGCAGTGGCTTGTGGGAGGAGGTGAGTTATGGTTTCTGACAGGACAACCTGGACATGCACAAGAGCCCTGTTGTGGGCCCTTTCTCTCCAGGGCAAAGGAAGGGCACAGACAGAAGTTAATGGACTGGCTGAGGCTTCCAGATGAGGTAGTGCCCTGCCTCATTCCTCTGATCAGGCAGGGTCTCTTCCAGCCTTAAAAAAAAACTGCTAAAAATGCTCTAGGGGTTATGAGGCCATGCAGGTGTCACAGGAGGGAGCGGCCGTCCCAGCCTTGCTAATGCCTACACCCAGCAGTGGTGATGCTCCAGCAGCCTGGTGATTGCTCACAGTCTGGTCCCGGCAGCCTGGAGCTTGGCACAGACTCGGTTAACCGGTTAACCTGCCTCTCCACGGGGCACTGCAGCTGCAGCCAGGCTGCTGCTCAGACTTGCGCTGGTGCCTCACCATCCAGGAGCTGGTGGAGGTGTCAGTCCTCTGCAGGTTCTGCGTACTCTCCACAAACAGTGAAAAATGAGTTAGATGAGAGCTAATATGTCTCTCTGCCACCAGGATAGTGTGGCCTGGAGTGGGAGTCCTCAGCTCTCAGAAAGAAGTGGATACAGCAATAGGAAAGGGAAGGACAAGATTTGTTTTCCAGGGATGGTAGCAAAGCCAATACAGCTGCATCTGTGCAGACTTTAACCAGCCCTGCTCCCTCAGGTTTAAGGATGACTGTTTGCAGTCCTACTACCCTGCGAAGGAAACTGAGGCAGAAAGCATGGGGTAGCTGAGCTGTCATATTCCAGCACGCCCATCACCTATGTACAAGCCATATGTACTCATTTGTGTGTGTTTGTATTTACCCTCCCAGGGAAATGCAAGAGCAGCTCATTAAACAGTGTGACAAATAACTTCTGTCGCTGTCAATCCCATTGTTTGTGTCTCTAAAATGTTTGCGTGTGCTACTTTGGGATATACAGTCAGGCCCCATTGAGCACACGAATGGGCAAGTATTAGAGCTGCAAAGCAACACCTTGGATTTGCCATCTCTGCAACTCACTTAATTAACGGATCTGTATCCAGAAAGCAGAAAATGCACATTTCTCATTACAAAAGGTGAAATTTCTGAAATCCATTAGATACACAGTAGGATAAAAATGTGCAAGGTTCCCACACACTGCTATGTCAATGCATCTTGTTCCTCTTCTATAATACCCCCTGCTATTCTGAGCAAAAATCTTCCAATGCATTTCTGCTGATGTGCCTCAAACCTCAGCTCTGACACTCTGCTAATCCCAGTCAGCCTTCCCTCAACATTTTTACAGTGCAACCCCATACCAATGGGGTTCAACTTTTGCTATTCAAAGAAATAACAAGGACAAAACAGCTCCTTGGGTTCTACCCTCAATGAACTGGGGCAAACCACATCCCTATGGCAAAAAGCCCCACAGAAACGTGCCACATGCTATACTACAGGCTTCAAACACTTTCTCATAAACTGGAGAGTGCAGGAAAAGCCTCAGCTACAAAGGATAAAGAGAGCAGATGAAATTCAGGGAACGACAATAACTTAGATTCCAGCAGTAATTTGTGTATCCCCCGTTCTGGCAGCACCCCGAGAGTTTATATGTGGCTGTTATGGAGGTACGACAGCAAGTTAGAAGAGAGAGACTGTGGGTGAGCCAGCACATGGCTTTGGCAGAGCCCTTTGATTCCTGCCAGCTTCCCCAGCTCTTAAATGGAGATAATGACACTCTTCCCATGACGAAGCCATGGGAGTGCCAAGGAGGGGACCATCTATGTACGAATGGCTTCACAAGGAACCTGGAGAGATGGTAAAAAGTACAGTTTCCAGCTGAGGTGTCTCAGCACTGTTGTACCTCTGTGTTTGAGAGCTGAAACCAGGGCTGCTTCCCATATGTGAAGATCTCCCAGAGGATCACCCCGAAGCTCCAGACGTCGCTCTCTGTTGTGAACTTCCTGTACATGATGCTCTCCGGAGGCATCCAGCGGATAGGCAGCATGGTGTGTCCTCCAACCTGGGTGAGGGCAAAGGCACAAGGAAATCTGAGTGGTGACAGCCCTGAGCAAAGGGTCAGCCCTGACATGATGTGGACAAACTCAGGGCCTCCCTGTGAGCTACATCAACAAGGAGCTGTACAAAAAAGCTGGCCTGGCTATTGTCTCCCGACCACCCACCGGCTACCCACCAATCCCACCTGGTTAACACATTGGAGAGGGAGTGAAATGTATCAAGATAAATTATGTCATCTCCTCCGAAAAGGGGCTTGTAAAGAAATCAAATGACAAAATGCCAAGAACATACTCCAGCCCCACAGCCTGATGAACCAGAAGGCAAGGCAAGAAACAGTGTTCAGCAAAGTATTGTGCTGAGATTTGCAGGGCCTCAGTGCTCTGAGGCACCCACCAGAAATACAGCATGAGGTTTGTCCCTCTTTGGTAAGGTTTTCTAAAAGCCATACACAGACATCTGCACATCACCTAATTGCATGAAATATTTTGTGCTCATAAAACTGTGCTACAGGCCTTTTCAAAGAGTGCTTTGAATATGTAAATGACTGCAGGAGCGCACTGCAAAAAGGCGGTCTGTTTGTAAAGAACAGGCTCTCACAGGCAGGGATATGCCTGGCATTTAATGGAGGCAGGAAAGCCAGCCCCTTTGAAGAGTTTGGAAATGGAAGAGCCCATTGGCGAAGTCCCATTTGGGGATGCCAAGCCAGGGAAAAGTACTTTCTCCGTCAGGGTCTCCCCTTCCCTAGGGCACGTGAATCCAGCAGGTACACAGCAGGTTTGCAGGATATGTGCAAACAGTTTGAAAGCAGATAGATTTACCTTCAGATCCACTAGAGATTTCTAAACAAGTGTCTCTGAGCAGGGCAAGTTTTTCTCTGTTCTGTCCTTCTACATAAGAAGCACCATCTGTGGGGAAATAGCTAATTGATAAGACCAGCCGGTGCTGGAAGCAGTGTGGCTGCGAGTCTCCAGCACTCGTTTTTGCTGAGGGTAAAGTGTCCGAGGTTTTAGTGGTGATGAGAAAGACCGCTTTTGTGGTGCCGCTTGGATGACTGCTTGTCTCATTACAGACACCAAAAAAGCAAGTGGTAATAACTTTGTAGCACGGCAACTGAATCAAACAGGCAGAAATCTCTCTGGTGCTATGAAGGATCAGAGCAGAAGGTATCTGGTATCTAGTTTTCCAGCATATGTGTGGATATTCAAAATAATGAGATTGTTGCGCTCGCCTGGATGAAAAAGTTTCTTGTACAAACAGAAGCTCTCCTCCAAGATGCCAGTTTCCCCAAGGTGCCATAGGTTTCTTTGCCTGATTAAAGCAGAACTAGTGTGAGGAAGGGTCAGTACAGTGACACACTGCAGTGCCTGGAAGCAAGAGGGACAGTGCTGAGCAGGTGTGCTGGAATAGGGTGTGAAATGGGTATGGCGCTTAGCAGGCTTTCTGCACGGAGGGTGCAAGTCAGACTTCTCTGGGGTGTGACAGAATTTGGACTCGGGCTTGCAATGTTGTACTCGGGGGTCTGCAGATCAGCCCTTTTTCTAACTCTGGAACAGACCCTTCCTCAAAACCAAGAAGGAGCTTTAAAAGTCTCAGGAACATCTTTCTTTCCTAAGTGCAGAGGTGCTCAGAACTGCAAGGCATGAAGATAAAAAGCTCATTGCAGCTCTACGCCTCCTATTTAGAGATGGCTTGGCTGGCATGTTCTCAGCTTGCTGCTCCAAACTCCCAAGAATGTTCTCCCGTGATGGAAATGGAAATACGCTTTTCTTTGTTTGTTCCTTTGAAACCCTGGCTGCAATTTTAGCTCTTTCCTGCATTCCCAGCTTTTACAAGTTGCTTTCCCTTCTTGTGAAGGGCTCTAAGGAAATGTTATCAACAGCACAGGACATATATCAGACTTGATTGTTGCAAAAACTGTTTTCTGCTAATACTTATTTTATTCTCCTTTAAATAGCACTAACTCTTCAGTTTTCCAGCAATGTCAAAATGATTACTCATTGCAAAGCTCTCTACACTTGCAATATCCTGAATCTTGCAGGATCATTTGAGATTACAGGTAGTGCAATGCATTGAGCACAGTTAACTCCCTTTTGAACAGCTCTTACAGCAGTTCAGAACCTACAAACCAGGTCCTCAGCTTACACAAACAGTATTGCAGCAGTATTTCTTGATGGGAGGGCCCTGATTTACACCACTTGAGGATCTGGTCCTGAAAGCAGAGCAGAGAGGCCGGTAGTCCCATCTCAGTTCTAATAAGCTAAAATAAAGTCGAGGTCTTTGATCTCCTCCAGACACATTCTGGTAAAGAACTGCCAGTAAAGTGACATACACAGTCCACGGTTGTCCCAAGGATGTGATAACACAGTCTTGACTTAGCTCATATGATTGAGTCCAGGGACTGGATAAGCATTCCTCCCAGCCCTCTATGCTATGTGAGACATATCTTTTACTAAATATTAATCTGTTAATAATTAATAAACAAATTAATTTTTTTAAAAAAACAACCCAAGCAACACCCAGAAACATGTGGATCTCATAGTATGGCTCAGCTCTGCTCATAGATAAGAAGGTATTCTATGCAGAGGTATTCTTTGCATCTCAGACACAGTGCCACATCTTTGAGAGCAAATATTAAGTCTTGCACTTACTAGCTATAAGCAGAGCAGGCATAAATTAAACTGTACCATAAAACCACTCCAATGTCTAGCCTAGCACACAATGACATTTTAAAGCATTGCCTTTGACTATCCCTTACTGCTTCCCTCACAAACGGATTAGGATTAAAATTCCCCCCCACCCCAAAACCAAAGAGATGCACGAACAAACCAGATGCAGGAAGGCAGGGAACAGCCCTGCTCTGAAGCTGTATAGTAAGTGAACTCTAAAAGTTGAGTCTTCCTGGTCTGCAGTCAGCCATACTCTGTTATTTGCTGATGTAGCAAAACAATTTAGAGCTGAGCACAGAGGGATTGTGCTACTGATGCCATAGGAAGTAGAGTGTGTCCAGGGTGACAGAAATCCTTTCCATAACATGTAGTGACTGTGATCTGTGTTATGCCACTGTAGACTTGCATGTGATTCCCACGGCTATGTACTTCTTTTACAGGACCAGCCATTGCCAGAAGCATAAAACAAAATGACGCTATTAAATCAGGCTAAAAAAAAGAAAAGGATGCTGGTTTTTTTCTTTTGCAAAGCTAGTTTACATGACATGTCCTTGGCTTTGGAAAGAATCATTATCGTGCCTTTAAAGAGAAGCTGAAAGTTTGTTTCCATCAAGCCCCTGTTTTCTCAGAGCTGGGCCTGGCAGGTTTCAGAAATAACTGACCATGTAGGACTGTTTGTCAGGAGCATGCTAATTCCGAGTCTTTTCTAGAACAGTCATGTCATCTTCCCACCCCATCTTCCTTCATTTCCCTTGCGAGCCAGGGATGGGGGAGCCCAGCCATCAAACAGGTTCATCTTCTAAAGGTCCCTAACGGTGAAATGTCCTCAAATAGTGACATTGCAACATCTACCCTGGAGATGCTCCACAACCTGAAAGAAGGATTTGTTTTCAAGCAAATAAGGCAAGTAAATCCTCTTCTGTTTCTCTCTTAAAATCCTATGATGCTGCCAAGCTTGCTTTTTCTCCTTGTTATTGTAATGCTTCATAGACCCGCAGACTGGCCTCTTTATCCCATTGCCATGGCTGTCTAGCTTTGCTTGACATTTTTAGCTCTCTAACTTTCTCTCCCTAGATCAACACCCTGTGCCCACACTGACATGTTATTCCCACTGCTTTGCTCTTTCAGCTTGCAGTACTATCCTGGTAATAAATAGAACAATCAGTGTGTATCCTCTGAGCAGCCAAAGTTTCTTTCTTCTGTCTCCATTTCAAGATCACAGTGTCACCTACTTGTTTCCATCCCCTTCTAATGGATATTCCCAAGTGCATGATCTGGTCTACAGCCACATCCTTCTGATACTTCAGGGCACCTGGCCTCTGCTCTGAAGCCTCATTACACATCCAAGCCTGTAGACTCGCAAGATAACCAGCCACTCCCTTTGAGCAGCTTATTGCTGTATTAGATATGAACCTCAGGGAGCTGGGGGAGGTTCATGAAAGGGCAGCGTTAATGGCCATTAGGGAGAGAGATAATTACTTAATGCTAGTACAGCACTTGGACGATGTAAAGCTATATAAGTGCTATGTACAAGTAGTATTATAAGGCTTGAGGTTTGTCTGCTACCAAGGAAAGCTGGTGTCTGGGGAAAAAATTCTCCTTGTCCCAGCTTTCTGAATGACATCCAGCTGATTAGGAAGGGAAAAGATCACATGTTATCCCCAATGAGTTTGACAGTGCAGCAGCAGGTAGTGGAACAGCAGTGTTCAGTGGAGACTGTGCCATATACCCGCAGTTTGGGTCACTAACAGAGATACCTGGAAATCAAAACCAGAGGGATGAAGAGCCCTCGTGAGAACTTTGGATTGGTGGGAATCCAGACATTAACACTTTAAAGGCACCTCTCGGTGAGCAGCCCTGTTTTCCCCCTCCTAGCTCACATACTAGCTCCAGCACTGTAGCCCAAAGTAGAGTTCAGAGAAGAGCACTGAGCCATCCCCTCCATGCTCACAGATGAAGGTTGCTTCATGGATCTCAGCTAAGAGTGGAATTTTGTCCCTGGCATACTGGCTGTGTCTAGTTTTCCTTTTTGTACCGTTTCCTTCTCGACTTCAAAATAAAATAAAAAATAAATCAGTGCTTTTGTTTTCTTTGGTCATTTGACATTTGCTTTCCAAGGTCATTTGAGAGCTTTCTTCCTGTTCCTGGCATACTTCAGGGAGGCTCTGCTGCTGCTCCTGCCTTGGAGTCACAAGAACCACTGTAGGTTTCTTCACATGGTGCAGCATTATTTGAACTTCCCTTTTATATGCAGGAAGCTCAGACATTTGAGTTTGTACAGAATCACGTAGCAGTAGTTGAGCACTTGGCACTGTTTCTCTCCAGGAAAATCCACTCA